CCCACGGTGGACATTAATAACAGGTTTAAAGTAAAAATAAAAATATAAAATAAATGTATCATATAATAAAATGAACAAAATAATAATAATAATAATAATTATAATAATAAAGTCTGTCACATCACACCCAGAATCATTTAGACAGCCTTGTAGATGCAATATTAATTAGCTTGCAGAGACTGAACTAGTGCAATTAGTATTATTTATTTATTTATTGGTGATTAAATGGCAATAAATGCACATTTTACCTTTGACTGCTTGCTGTTTTGATAGAGTGAACAGATACACGCAAGTATAAATACTACTTTTCTATTTTTCTTACATGTAACCTAACCACTAACATGATTTGATATACAAAAATCAGGAGACGTGTCTTTATACTTCCAGACCTAAAATTACCCTAATACTAACGTAAATCCTCTTTTGATTCCCTTAAGCTTATTTTATTTAAGTGTGGCATCAATATAACTGGCCGATTGCTCTATCTGCCGATTACATTTGCAAAATGGCTAGTTCAAACAGCCGCAAATACGCTTAATACTAAGATAATGAGTCATTCCCTCAGACAGGTATCAACAAGTTCAGTCACATGTTTCTAAATGAAAGACAAGCCTAATCTGTACATTCAAATCCAGTGTACACTAATCATCATCAGTCTACAGATGCATATGTAGTGACTAGAGCTGACAGATCTTAGTCAAAACTCCAATTTCAACCCATCAAGCTGATATTGATACCAGTAATAATGCACCCTAATAGGCCTACCTAATAATACTTACTTTTTAAAGATAAAAAGTACTAATCACTTGTGAAAGGTGTAACTAATATTACACAAAACACGACTACAGGACATTACAGTACTTTTGTTCACACTGACAGAAATTGCTTATTAATATTACTCAGTGCTTATTAGTGTAACTGCACTCTAACAAGGAAACATTAAAATAAAACCTGACAGAGAATTGCTGATTTTCACTGAAATGAGTGACAGTGAGCATTCTTTACTCAAATGAGCAGTGATGTGATGTGTCAACTGCCAATGGGAGCGCAGACAGTGATCAACTGTCTGATTCAAGTCAACCTAAAAACTAGCAATTTATAGTACAGTGGCTCGGTGACCTCCATCAATTTAATGACTGTCAGTGCGAATGCACCTTTAGGATGCTAATCATTAGCCAAACTGAATTAAAAAGCAGTTCTCTCCCTTAACGTCTGCCTTAATGCATTTATTCCTCTCTGTGTTCTTGGAAATTGGATTCTCTGTCAGATACGTGAAGAGTTAATAATGTAGGTGGAGGGAGAACATGCCAGACCAGGGATCCACACAACAAAAACACCAGGGGCGAGGGCAGCTTGCTTGGGTCAGAGTGAGGGTGGTTTGGGAAGGACTCCCTTTTTATAGGGAGGAAGGTGCGCCAATAAGTGGGAGTGGGGCATTTGAGTACCTGTTGGAATAGCCGAGGCCGTTACCAAAACGAGCGGGAACTCTCCGATGGCTTTAACTGCCAGCTGTGATGGCTGTTACTGTCCGTGGATGTCAAATACAACTGTGTGGGTTTGCAGAAAAGAAAACGACAAGAAACTGTAGAGCAGATAGACACCACTGACTGCATCTCCAGCTCACAAGAAACACGTACACATGCACTCCCAAACACACGCACACGCAGCGTCTAGAGGACACAAGACCAGACACGAAGGTGTGAGGGGACACAAGTACACTGTGAGTGGGGTTAACTTACATCAGCAAGTCCTGACAATCTGTATCTCACCTAAACTACCAGTCGACTAACCGATTTTAACACAGATTTTTAGCTTCGTTTAAAGTTTGTCCAGTGATAATGTTTCTTAAAAACAGAGTAAATTTGTGGTCATGTAACTGATTTGTCAAAATCAGTGTGAGCAGCGTGCCGACATACAGTGCCACTGCGCTTTGGGTGTCTCGAGTTTGAGTCCCGGATCGTTGACCTTTCCCTTCCCCCATTTCTCTCTCCCAGTCGCTTCCTGTATAGCTGCTACCCTATCATAATAAAGGCAAAAAATCCCCAAAATAAATCTAAAATAAATAAATAAATAAAATGCAAGTAAAAAAAGATGATTATAAAATGGATAGTTCCGGTTCTTGATTCTGATTGGTTGAGCCGCGTTCAAAGCTGTTGTAAATTACTCTACAAACATACACCTTTGTTTACATTTGTCTGTTGCTTGGCAACCACTTTGTTGCAGCCACAACTGTTTCTGAGGGACTACATTGTTTGGCGGAAGAATACGTTTTTTTATTAATATCATTACACTTTATTTGCTCTGTTTTATTTTGTTAAACCTTACTACGTATATGGAATAACCGTTTTATAAAAGCAATAAACTCCGTGAAGCCGTGGTTTACATTGAATTTATAACAGCTATTATAACATATATTATAACATATAACAACTGTTATAAATTCACTGTAAACAACGGCTTCACGGGGCTTATTACAAATGACTTGCTTCTTGCGTCAGACCAAGGTATTGTCATTTTGCATTATTGACACACTATTTTCCTAATTAATGCTGTTCAGTTGCTTTGACACAATCTGTATTGTTAAAAGCGCTATATAAATAAAGGTGACTTGACTTGACTTGACTTATTGCTTTAAATGTATGTGAAATGTAAACAAACAATAATCAGACATAAAAATAATGTAATGCATAATTCCAAAATGAATGTAAAGTATTGAATGTAATTGCAAAAGTCAACAATAAGATACTAGCGCTCACCAGAAGCTATATAAAAATGTCTTTTAATAATATACACTAATCTCATAAGCAATCTTAATCAATCAAGTTTCTTATAAGACCATAAAATTGGATTCTCATCTGGTGGGATGCATGACCTAACACGAATGTCACATTAGCAAAATGTCGCCGCCGCCCCCCCCCCAAAAAAGGTTCCATTGTCAATAGCGTAGCACAGCTCAGACAGAAGTCACTTTCAAAACAAGCAGCTTTCTGTTGAACTTGAACCCATCGTGAAATCTGCATAAATCATTCGCCTTCACATTAAATGACTGGATTTCGCCCAGGAAAATTCTCCTAACAACGGTAAATGTCAAGAAAAGCTTGAAATAGTGTGTCTGAAAGCACACGTCATAATCTCCTCAACATCATGTATCCACAGCGCCACCTAATGTTCACAGTTGTAATGCCAACATTTAAATGAACTCTGGGAACTTTTATTTTGGTGCTTATGGCTGGCAGTTGCTCAAAAGAAAACCTATTTTAGTTTTTACTAGTTGACTAGGTGGTGCAGAACAAGTACTCAAATATTTAGCCACCTTCTGACATTATTAGTGTCTGTTAATGAGTGAATGCTAACAGTCCCACCAACTAATCTCCCCAGTGAATTAGTTTCTGGGTTGGCGGATTCCTGCAGACAAGAATGAAACTGACAAGCTACACTGTCTGAAATCTTAGCCACACCATTCTTTTAAATGTTTTTTTTCCTCAGGAAATGTTCATTGCAAAGAGTAGCCTACAGCAAGACTGTTGTCCATGGTGCTAATGTTTCCATTGTGCTCTAGTTCTTATTTTGGGAGCTTCATATTGATTGGCTCCCAAAAAGAGGTGTTGAAATACATTAAAAGTCTATGTGAAATGTCAGAGGCACTCAGTTAATCAGTCACCCCTCTTCCATGTCAGAGCACCGAGTTTAACAACCCGATTTCAGCAATTACAGGTGGCTGTGTTGATATCTCGCTTCAGTTATCGAGGTGTTTCGAGTCAGTAAGTGGGCAGCTGGCTCAAAATCTCTGTTCTCCTTTTCCTCACACAAAAAAAATCAATGCAACATCGATCTATGGCTATAAATCACCACTCCACCTAATCTGTTCTGTGAGATTGGGCAAGCGAGAAGTTCCCAACAGCAGAAGTTGTCCAACAGCAATTGGCTTGAAAGGTCTGCTTACTCAACTTAATCATCTAATTACTTGAACAGTTTACTTGAACAGAGTTCAGGGCTCTTTGTAATGACTTGCTGTGTACAGTGAAACTACAGTGGGGGAGATAATTGATTTACACAAGCGAACTACAAGAACATGCTATTTGAGGTGAATATTTAAGCATTCAGGCTGTCAAAATGACTCTGTGGTTTGTGCGTTAGTGTGTTTGTGTGTGTCGTCATTCACTGAGGATGAGTGCAGGTACTTACAGTTGGAGGAGGAGATTCTCTCCCGATCAGAGGGGTGTTCTCACAGCGAGGGTTCTGGAAGTTTGCATTCTGGGTCCTGGAAACGAGACACACAAACTCTTTACAAAGATCCCAAATCCTCCTGCATTAATGTTACTGATCTATTTCAAATTTATTGTACTTGATTATTTACACTACCATTGCACCAAAGTCTGGGGTCGGGAAGATTTTTTAAAAACGCTTTTGAAAGAACAAAAATACAAATTTAAAAGAACTGTTTTCTATTTGTATATATTTTAAAATTCATTCCTGTGATGTCAAAGCTGAATTTCCAGCATAATTTCTCCAGTCTTCAGTGTCACATGATCTTATCATATTCTAATATGCTGATTTACTGCTTAAGAATCATTTATTATTATTATCATCAATGTTGAAAGTGCTGCTTAATATTTTTGTGGAAACCATGATACTATTTTTTCAGGATTCTTTGAGTAATAGAATTGTTTATGATTCAACTTCTAATAGTAAAAGTAGTAGTATTAAAAAAAATGAGCTTATTATTATTATTATTATTAAGTGCAATCATTATACGAAGCAGTTTTGTGATCTAAATAGTGGTGTATTTATTTCCATAGTTGTTTTGGGTAACAAATAAAAGTTTAACTTAAATGACTATGAGTCTATCATTTATAAATGAATGGTGGCACATGGAAAAACCAAAAAGAGATGCAGTAGAAATGTGGGAGCATCAGTAAGAAGTATCGGTCAAACTGAATATCAGGCTATTTCTACAAAAAACTCCATGGATCCCTCACAGAACGGAAAAGGTGACCAGTATGTGTTCATATGTATTGGTTGTTGATGTGTGTTTAACTCACATGTACTCCGTAACAGGAGCGTTGCTGACAGTGTGTGCTCCTGCAGGGATGCTGGTCTCGCTGCCGTAGCTGCTGCCGTAGCTGCTGCCACAGCTGTAGAGACTGGGCATGTGCACCCGGTACAGGTTATCATGATTCTGTCTGCCTCCATGAGCCATGGACTCCTCCTCACTGTCCTCATCAGGCCTGTATGCACAAACACACACAACAGACACATTACTGTTAGCAGGAAACAAATAAACGCTTTTATTTAAAGCGATGTATTACAGAGACGGGTCCATCAGCTCAAACTGCCTTGAGCTCAGGGGTGATACTTCATTGATTTCAGAGGACATCAGCTGTAGTTTGATATCGTTTAATCGGTCAACACAGCCCAATGTCACACAACTTGTGAATTGCTGTGAAGTCGCCTCAGTGAAAGCGCAAGCCATGATCGGTGTGGGAGTGTGAATTTGAGTAAAACTGCCAGTTAGCAGTGTTAGACACTGCAGATAGCTGACAAGCAGTGTCAAACTCAGACGGGACCCCTCAAGAGATCAGAGTTGTCATATGTACCCAACACTTGGCAGAAGCAAAATACCCGCTGTTGATTAGCACCACCTCCAGAACAAAAGGGAAGTACTGTCAGGTAAAAATCATGTCATTTTATTGAAAGTTTTTTGATGCTAAAAAAGCAAAGCAGTAAATGACAGCAATGCATAATGAATGAATGAATATGGGACAAAATATAAATAAATGAACAAATACATTTCTATTCAAACGTTTGGGGCCGATAAGGTTTTTTTTAATGTCAGGGACACATTAAATTGTGAATATTAAAATGCATCGCAGTTTCTACAAAATGATTGAGCAGCAACTTGTGAATTGCTGTGAAGTCGCCTCAGTGAAAGCGCAAGCCATGATCGGTGTGGGAGTGTGAATTTGAGTAAAACTGCCAGTTAGCAGTGTTAGACACTGCAGATAGCTGACAAGCAGTGTCAAACTCAGACGGGACCCCTCAAGAGATCAGAGTTGTCATATGTACCCAACACTTGGCAGAAGCAAAATACCCGCTGTTGATTAGCACCACCTCCAGAACAAAAGGGAAGTACTGTCAGGTAAAAATCATGTCATTTTATTGAAAGTTTTTTGATGCTAAAAAAGCAAAGCAGTAAATGACAGCAATGCATAATGAATGAATGAATATGGGACAAAATATAAATAAATGAACAAATACATTTCTATTCAAACGTTTGGGGCCGATAAGCTTTTTTTAATGTCAGGGACACATTAAATTGTGAATATTAAAATGCATCGCAGTTTCTACAAAATTATTGAGCAGCACAACTATTTTCAAAACTGAGCAGCAAATCAGTATATTAAAATGATTTCTGAAGGATCACGTGACACTGAAGCCTGGATTAATCATGCTGAAAATTTAACTTTACTATCACATGAATAAATTACATTTTAAAATATATTACAATACAAAACTGCTATTTTAAACCGTAATAATATTTCACAATATGTCTGTTTTTACTGTATATTTAATCAAATAATTACAGCCTGGATGCACATAAGGGACTTCTTTTAAAAACATTATTAAAAAAAAGTCTTACAACCCCAAACTTTTGAACTGTAGTGCTAACATGTCACTAAACACATGTGACCCTGGAGCACAAAAGCAGTCTTAAGTCGCTGGGGTATATTTGTAGCAATATCCAACAATACATTGTATGGGTCAAAATTATAAATTTTTATTTTATGCCAAAAATCATTAGGATATTAAGAAAAGATCATGTTCCATGAAGATATTTTGTAAATTTCCTACCGTAAATATATTAAAACTTAATTTTTGATTAATAATATGCATTGATAAGAACATCATTTGGGCAACTTTAAAGGCGATTTTCTCAGTATTTAGATTTTTTGCACCCTCAGATTCCAGGTTTTCAAATAGTTGTATCTCGACCAAATATTGTCCTATCCTAACAAACCATACATCAATGGAAGGCTTTTTTTCAGCTTTCAGATGATGTATAAATCTCAATTTAAAAAAAAAATGTATGACTGGTTTTGTGGTCCAGGGTCACATATATCATCAGTGTAGTCCAAAAAAAAAAAAAAAAAATACCTTAATTCAAAGTGGAAAGCCAAAACTTCAGATAAATGGATGAATCCACTCAAAATAGGGGAAAAAATATGAATCATACAACTGTGATATGCCCAACTGTACATTAATAAATTCCATCTGATCTTCAATATCAATGTGTCACACTGTGGTATGAACAGCAGAAGGCGCTCTCTGCTGTGTTACTAATGACAAACAGGAAGAGCACATCAAGTCCATATAGAGGCATGTGCTGTGCTCTGCTTGCTTTCAGCCACAGGGAACAAAGAGAGCAGCATGCATTTGGCCAAGAGGGATGACATATTATCGTTTGAGGGAAAGCCTGGAACCACACAAAAACCTGAATCAGTGATTCTGTGACTCTTGACAGACCACTAACAGTCTGTTTTCCTGTGTCCACTGATTGGATTACATGCGACCAGGAACAGCACTGTGTTAGCATAATGAACATGAATGAAAAAGCTGACGATGACCAGAGAGAGAAAAATGAACACTATCAGGGGAGGGCTGTGAAACAGAGTGTGGCGCTATAAATATACAGATCTGGGCCGCCCCCTGCTGGACATGGTAGCTTGATGAACTCACTATAACTATTCAGTATTCAGTAGTTCAGCTTCAGTACAACTCCAGCCAACACTTGAAAATTATCATTGGCATAAAGTGTGGTTGCATTATTGTCCACAAAAGTAAACTCGGAGGTGATCCAGTAAACAACTTGTTCACACCAAGTCAGAATTTTCAGTACTAGGTTTCATGACAAAAATAATTACACTTTTGTGCCATTTAGTTGCAGCACATTTCGATTTTTGAGTTATCGGAAATACTGGTTAACCTATGATGATTTCCTTGAAATTCTAACTCTTTCATTTAGGGTCATGAACAAGGTTTCGACACTCTAATATGTTGTGGAAATGTGTGTACAACATTTCTATTAGGATTATGATGTTTGCAGGTCACTTTGACTTGTGTATTTCATGGTTAAAGGCAGCTGCACAGACCCAAAATAAAAACAAAATACAATGTCAGTTTCTCAACTACTCTCTGGGGGTATTTCCACACTTCTGTTTAAGATGTTAAAAATAGTTACAATACTGTTTAGAATATTTGCATTAAAAAAAATCAGCGGTTACATACTTCTTAAAAAATCATGTTCTCTTTTTTTGTTATTGTTGTCAATGCATGAGAAGTATACATGTTAAAATTAGTTTTTGTAGTCTTGTAATTAGTTTTCATAGTGTGATTTGTTTTTTCATAGTGAAATTGAATTGAATCCAATTTTTTTTCGATTTTTACAAGGGGCACTTGGTAATTTTTTCTTTCTTTATTTTTAAATGTTGTGCTGGTCTAGGGCGCCTGACTTAATGTGACATCATTAAGCTTTTTTTTTTATTATAAAAAAAAAGAAGTACCATTACATTTTAAAATATAAAAAAGCCTGTGCGCACCTTTAACACCACCAAAAAAAAATTTGCATATAAAAATGCATGCACTTACTTCAAATATCTCAAAATATTTCCCAACTTCACACAGTTAACATAATCAGTGTCTACCTCCGCACTGCATGGCCTGCCACAGCCTGCCTAAACTCATATTCAGAAACTGCTAATTATCTATAATGAAGAGGTAGTGTGAATAGCTGTGTACCATGAGACACACACTTATGAGTGTGATAATTACATAATATGCTTAAGCTGGCGTCTTTGTCCTTTCTATCTCTCCCAGCCTAATCCTGTTTGCCTGATGCAGGCCTGTCCTGGGAGAGCAGCCGCATGGGCCCGGACCGGGAAATTATTGCAGTTTATGTAATTATGGGAGGAAGATGTGAGCGATTGCCACACAGAGCGCTTGGAAGGAAGGAACAAGGGGGAAGAGATGGAGCGAGGCAGCGGTTTCCGTTTACATTTTGACCTAAGAGCGTGATGGGAGCACGAGGTGTCCAACCATAGTCTTCGTAACAATGCCCATGGACACACAAACACACCACTAACTACTTCAACTGTTGTTTTATCTCTGGTTTAATCCTCCTGAGTGCATCCGACTACAAAAATGAGGATGTTCCACTGAATTTTCCCCGTTCTTTTTTTTTCACCCCCTCAACAACTGGGTTACCACAATCTACAAAACACTTTTTGAGGCAACGTTATTTTAGTATATCATTAAGCTACAACTAAAGTTTCAGTTTTTATTGTTATATATTGAGAGTTTTTTTTATTTTAGTTTGAGTTTTTTAGTATTATCAAGTTAAACTAAATTAAAACGAGAAATATTGCCTTACTAATATTAATGAATACTAATGACTAACACATTTTTGTTGAACTTAACTATAATAACCCCTCTATATTTAATAATAATAATTATAATTACTATTATCATATAAAACCATAAAATAATATTTGGAACATTTTTTTTTTCTCTTCAGATCTCACCTTTTGCCATGCCATGTGTGTGGCACACTGCAGACGACAGAGGTGAACATGAGAGCTGTGATGAATGAGAACAGCACCAGGTAGATCAGACCCTCCAGTCCATCATAACACACTCCAGTCAATGCCTGCACATAATCCTGCACACAAACAGAAAGACAATCACAGCACTGCACGCAAACACTGTCCACTTACACTGTTGATGTTGTTGGCTTAATCCTCACGAGTGCATTTAACTACAGAAATCAGGATTTTCCACTGAATGACTGCGTCATACTGCTAACACTAACTTGCGTGGGAAAAGAACAATGTGTTTTATGACAATAACAAAACCACCCCTTTCTCTTTAATGCACTATAAGCCAGATAATACATATTTTGATGCTGTAAAGTAGTGATATAATGTTAGGAATATATAGTATAAGGTCACTATTAGTTGCGTACTGTTAGTAATAGTATAGTTGTTGTCATATATGTATGTATATATACATACATACATACATGTGTATACATAAACACATAAATATATCAATATTATATATATA